TAGGAATGGGTTATACATCTAGTTGATCTTTTTGTTGTTGATTTTTTTTTTTTTACATGAAAAGTTTCTCAAGATGGACTAGAAATTCACAAGCATTTCTGTGAAAATCAAATCCTAAGTCGTAGTGCACTTGAAAATAATAGGTTAAAGAACCTTTTTGTGATTAATATTGAGAGAAAGACTTTATAAACCATGTAAAATCTATTCCTAAGCCCTGAGATTATTCAAAATGTGCTTTTCAAAAAGAGAAGATAATATTTTCTTTCTTCTTTCCTTTTTTTTTTTTTTAAGAGAAGGGCTTTTTTAAAAAAATTACATTTTATTGACTTTTTACAGAAAGGAAGGGAGAGGGATAGTCAGAAACATCGATGAGAGAGAAACATCGATCAGCTGCCTCCTGCACAACCCCCACTGGGGATGTGCCCGCAACCAAGGTACATGCCCTTGACTGGAATCAAATCTGGGACCCTTCAGTCTATAGCAGGGTTGGGCAAACTTTTTGACTCGAGAGCCACAATGGGTTCTTAAACTGGACCGGAGGGCCAGAACAAAAGCATGGATGGAGTGTTTGTGTGAACTAATATAAATTCAAAGTAAACATCATTACATAAAAGGGTACGGTCTTTTTTTTTTTTTTTTTTAGTTTTATTCATTTCAAACTGGCCGGGTCTGGCCCGCGGCTGGTCTATAGGCTGATGCTCTATCCACTGAGCCAAACCAGTTAGGGCGAGGATAATATTTTCAACATAAGGGTAAAGGTCTTTATTAAGTGTCTGTTATTTGTTTAACAAGGACATTTTTTTTTTTAATATATTTTATTGATTTTTTACAGAGAGGAAGGGAGAGAGATAGAAAGTTAGAAACATCGATGAGAGAGAAACATCGATCAGCTGCCTCCTGCACATCTCCCACTGGGGATGTGCCCGCAACCCAGGTACATGCCCCTGACCGGAATCGAACCCGGGACCTTAAAGTCTGCAGGCCGACGCTCTATCCACTGAGCCAAACCGGTTTCGGCAACAAGGACATTTTTTAAAAATATTTTTAGTGATTTCAGAGAGTAAGGGAGAGGAAGAGAGAGACAGAAACATCAATGATGAGAGAGAATCATTGATTGGCTGCCTCCTGCACGCTCCCTACTGGAGATTGAGCCTGCAATCCAACCATCTGCCCTGATCTGGAATTGAACCCTGTGACTCCTGGTTCATAGGTTGACACTCAACCACTGAGCCACATCAACCTGGCAAGGACATATTCTTATTGTGTAGAAAAAGATAGAAAACCATTTTTCTTCCAGTTTATCTTCTCTAAAGCCAATTTGGGAGAGCATTGTAAGACTAAAGTAAATAGAACTAGCAATCTGTGGCTTTAATATATTAGAGTTGCTTGCATGCTAACTTGAAGCATCTTGTAATTTTTAAAGTTGTAATTAGTATAACAGATAGGAAATATGGGTATTTTTAAGGTTATTTTCTTTGAAATAATAATAGTTCTCCCCGTCCCAAAATTAGTGATATAAGTCAAAGATAAAATTAGTTTTATTCTGTTTCAGAAGGGGCATTTCTGTTAACAACATATTCACTGGGAAGAAATAATGTCCCTAGAACAAATAAACAGGAATTCTGAAATATTCTATTTAACTGTGTTATCAATAAACATTTTTAGTTTTGGTTACTGTGAACTCTGTTATTCTCACTAATCAGTTCACATACATGAGCACCATTTGTTTTCCCATTTTCCATACTTTCTAATTGTGATTTGGCATTTGATGATTCTTAGTCTTCAAAAGAAAAAAGTTACCTTTTAAGGGTTTGGGAGGATTTATTAATTTATTTCCCTTACTTGAATACTTTTGGAAGCTTCTCATTGCCTAAAGAATAAATACAGATAATATTGCTTTCTGTTCTACTGGTAGGCCTTTCATGATCAGCTTCAATATTTCTTATATGTGACTCATGTTGTGTGTTTTTTTAACATATTCAGTAAAAATAATTTTTATAAAGGTTCTTCTTGATTCTCAGTAAAGCTATCTGGGCTATCGTACATTTGCGGCTTAAAAATATCTACATTTAAAATTGTTTATATTTAATTAAACAAATAGTATAAGATTATGACCTCATTCTCAACTTTCATTTGTTACAAAGTTTAAATTCCCCTTGATCAAACATTATTAAACTACCTCCTCAAAGGTACTACTGTTAATAGTTTTAAAGGTATCTTTCCATAAATACATAGCATTTCTTGAGGAGGAGGCCAATAAGTATTTTTCTTTATTTGGAAATATGTATGATTTTAAACGAGGGTGGATTATAAAAGATGAACATCTGTACTATACAAAACTCAAATTTAGAAAATTTCAGACCTCTACAGTCAGTTTATGAACTACCTTCTACTTTTCTCTTGTTTTCCCAACATCCCTGTCACCAAAATATAATTAGTTCCTTTCAGGTTGAAAACCTTGGTGTTTAAGGATCTATGACACCTAATTTAATTCACAATATAGAGTTAACATGGAGAAACTTGAGTAAGGTAGATATGTAATTGCTCAGGGGACTTTTACTATATTTTCCTGTCTTATCTAAGTAATGGGAAGCATTTTCGATTTGTTAAGTTTATAAATCTGCCTTGTCTTTTAGACAGCAGTTGCCAGTGGAGATGATGTCTTTTCCTTCATGTTTAAATGAATTGAATGTCTGAATATTTAATAAATCTTGATTAATATCGCAACATTCATGAACATGTGTTTCTGTTATCTATACTACATAGATAATGAGGGTGTATGACTGTGAAGGACATTTTATTTTCAAGTTTCCAAGTAATTTGAGCAAACTCAAATGGAAGTGGCAAGCATAAAGCCAGTATTCACAAAACAAATTATTCTATTACTTTGTAATAAATAAAATCTATTTTTTAGAGTGCTAGAACCTAAAATCAACTTTGAAGCACCCAATAAATCTCTTATCTATTTATGCCTGTCTTGCCTTCCAGCCTGTAATTAGCACTCTAGCTAGATCTTTTAAAAAATGAGCTTCACAAGAAATTTTATATTTGTATTAAGTGCAGAGATATTTTAAAGTCAGGCATCTTTTACTCAACTGTTACTAAAATTGAGTGATCACTACAAACATTTGGAAAGTATGAAATGCATGATACGATGTCAAGGGAAATCATTAAAATACTAGAACAAAGAACAAAATTCAAACTGTTATTAGGGTAAGGGGGAAGGAGTACAATATTTGGCTAATCCAAAAGCAAGCAAGGAAGAAAGGGGAGGTGGGGAAGCATAGAAAACTTGGGGTAATTAAAAAAAAAAAAGCTCATAGATAGAAATTCAAATATATCTAATTATAGTAAATGGAAATGGATTTAATGGGTCCAAATAAAAGGCAGGGATTAACAGGCTAGTTAAAAATGTTCAGAATGCAGTTCTATATCTTTATAAGAGACACATTTAAAACAAGGATAAGGAAAAGTAAATAAAAAGTTTTATTGGGTGCAGTAGAAGATACCTGACAAAGATTATATTGCATAGGAGTTTGGAAAATATGGAATTTTTAGACAATTGGTATGGGAAAACGACAGTGTAATTCTAACTCATGAAATACACAAAACTAATTCCAGATGATCAAATGACCTAAATATGAGCAGCAAAACTATAAACTGTTTATAAGACAACATAAGAAAGAATATCTTCACAATCTTGATTCAGGGAATGCTTTAAGATACCAGAACAGTAAACTTTAAATGAAAGGTGGGTAAATTTGGCTATTATAAAATATAATACTTTTGTTCATCAAATAACACCTGGAATAAATAATTTTTAAAAAGTCATTAATTGGGGTGAGATATTTAGGACACATATTCAGAATACATGAAGAACTCTTTCAAGTGAATAAGAAAATAATAAATATGCTCTACAACCTTGTTACTCAAAGTGTAGTCTGCCCAGTGGAACGTGAGCGCCCAGAAACAAACCCAAAACGATCATGTATTGTAAAATGGTACAGTCAATAGTTTGTCAGTTTCTTTAAAAGTTAAACACAAAATTATTACATTTCCCAGTAATTACATTTTATAGGTAGCTCCTCAATACCTGAATATATGGCCACAGAAAGACTTGAATGTGATTGTTGATAGCATTATACATGATAACCAAAAAAAAGGGGGGAAGCAAATATCTATCTACTGGTAAGTGGATAGACAAAATTGGTATATCCATGCAGTGGATACTCTTCCACAATAAAAATGAATAAGCCGCTGACACATGTTAAAACATGGATGAACTTAAAATACATTATGTGAAGTGTAAGAAACCATGCAGGGGAACCAAGTATTATAATGATTCCATTTATATAAATTGTCCAGAAAAGACAAATTTTTAGATCGGTAGGTATAGTGATTACCTAGGGCAATGGGTGATAGATGGGCTTGAGAGATCTTACTGGATGAGGAAAACGTTCTAAAACATTTATGGTGATGGTTGCACCACTGGGTAAATTTAGTGAAAATCACTGAATATTGTATTTACAATTTTTATGTAGTGTCTCTCAAGAAAGTGTTTTTACAAAAGCAAATGTAGGATATATAAAATTATATAGCATTATGTTTAGCCAGAATGTCAAAATATTTATATAACCTTTTTAATAAAGCCATCAAAATTTAGAGATTTATTTTTAAATTTCCAGTTATTTTGAACCTTTAATTCTCTATTTCTAGAGCCAGGATCACAGGAATTGTCAGTGGAACTCCCTTTCACACTGACATTCCCATATGTTTAATTTTTTAATGCAACCTTATTTTCTTAGATTCTTAAAAGAAAACCTATTATATCTGTCTTATCTTTGAAAATGAGTCATAGCCCTTCATATTCTGGCTATTAACAGGTTGACATTACCAGCATCTGTGAAACATTTGATGAAAAACACCAAAACCAATTAAAATTAACTTTGCTTTCTATTTCTTCATTTACTGTATTTTTTCTCTGTTTTGTTTTGTTTTAGATCACTGTGTCCACTACTATGATCTTCGTAACACTAAACAGCCAATTATGGTATTCAAAGGACACCGAAAAGCTGTTTCTTATGCAAAGTTTGTGAGTGGTGAGGAAATTGTCTCTGCGTGAGTATTACTCTTTTCAGAGGTTGAACTGAACACAGCTCTGTCATCCTTTGCCATTTTGTAATGTTACCCCTGCATATATATATAAATAATAACACTGTGGTGGTATGTGTACTTTTAAATTAATTTTTTATAACATCTGATTAAAATGCATGCATATTCTGATCTGTATTACTCACTTTAATATGTTAGTTGTGAATAAAATCCTGATTATACTAATTTTTAATGTCTCCCCCTTAAATACTTGAACTTCAGATTGAGTTTCAGCCACTGCTTCTCCATAAGAAGAGACAACATAGTTGAGGGAATAAAATGAGAAGTGTTTTGTTTAATTCAACTAATGTTATTCTATATATATCTACATTGCAGTACTGTAGTGTATTTATTTCAAGTTATATTTGATTGACTTTTGATTATATGTTATTTGATATCCTTATGATTTCATGGTGAGTTTTACATGTGCTTTGAAGAGAACTTTCCAACTATGAATACTTATACCCAACAAATATCCTTTTAGAAGCTTCTGACCTAGAGAGTCATAGTATAGCTTTTAGTTGTCTTTTAAGAGGTCAACCAGATACATAAATCTCATCTGCCAAAATATTGTTGATAAAGTTTTTCTGCTAACAGAAGCAGTCCCTTCTTTCTGTGATCCATTTTATAGTTCTCTTCATTTTATATTAACCTAGTAAATACCCATTCTTTAGTTCTCTCTTTTTCATATCTATTATTATCAAGGTAAATGATATATTGTTTTCTTTTCTTCACTTAGCTTCTAATCTCTCAGGAGATTATTAATGCCACGGATTTCTGCTTGGTATTTCTCACCACATCTACCTTCATGCCGGTTGCCCTCGATAAGAATTTGGCAATTTGAATTGAGTTACAAAGAAGGGAACAAAAGAAAGTAGGAACTGAGCTTTAGAAGGGCAAGTAGTATAGGTCATTGGTTCACAAATATGAATTAAGTAGTTACTAGTCAAAAAGTATCCTACTCCCACTTTTCTAGTACTACCTAAAGAAAAGATTGGTCCAGATCTTTGACCAATCTAAATATAGAGTTAACAAAATTAAAAACACAGGATGGGTTGATATTGTAAATCAAGATGACCTTTCTCTTGCACATTTTGGAGTTTAGAAGTATTTAGAATAAATTTATTCACAAGTATATTTAGAAGTATTGAAAAGTAGAATTAAAATACACACATTGTTGCAACCTCTGAATTGTTGGCCAGTTTAAAAATGTGTGTGTATACATACATATATATATATACACACACACACACACACACACACACACACACACACACATAAAGGGATATTCACTGCAACACTATTGAACAAAAAACAAATTTAAGACAACATCAGTAGCGAAGAATAGATGTTATGTTGGAAAATGATGAAAAGCAATAGAGAAGTATTTCAAGAGTTTGATGGCATTTGGCCTCTGAAATAAAGATTCAGTCTTGACTCTACTGTTTACTAACCGTGGTACCTTGAAAATGTCCTCAACCTCCTGAATCTCAGTTTGTTCATCTCTAAATAATAGAGTATTAATCTTTAAATAAAATAATGTATGTAAAATACTTACCATGGTGGTCTAGTCTATGAATGTTAGAGTAAATAAAAAGATTTATTATGTAGTCATTAATAAAGGTACAGAAATGAGTTATTTTACAGAAAACAATGTAACACAAATTTATGAATGGTGGAGAATCAATTTACAAAATAATGTACGTGTTATGATCCAATTTTTTAACAAAAAGAGAAAAAACATGTAGTTTTAAGTCCCAGACTGTCTCTATATAATAATTACCAGTGATTTATATAATTACTTTTTGGTAAATAACTGTATCTGCATATTATTTCAGTAAGATAAACTACTTTATATAGATCATTCAACTATTTACAGTATTCCACCTCTGCAGGTACAATTAAGCTTTGAATATAGTTTATATTCAGTATACTAATACAATTCAAGAGTTGAAAGGTAAATCAAAACAAGTGGAACAATTGTGTTTTGATGGTGGTGGTATAATGTTACCAATGACTAATGTTTATTAATGCCCATGGACTATTGAAAACATTTTAAATGAAGTAATTTAATTTTTAAAATATAAGATTCATAACATCTTATAAATTTTATAGTGTAAGAATCTTATATTTCACATTTAAATGATGAAAAAAAAGCAGGCCAGAGAAGTTGTATAACTTTCCCAAGGTCAAAAATAAATTATCGGCATAAGATTCTGCATTTTTAACCACCAAACTAGAGTGCCTCTAATTAGCGGTGATGAGTTTCATGCCATGACATCTTAAATATGCTCTAACTTTTTGTGTTTACTTTAGCTCAACGGACAGCCAGTTAAAACTGTGGAATGTAGGGAAACCATACTGTCTACGTTCCTTCAAGGGTCATATCAATGAAAAAAACTTTGTAGGCCTCGCTTCCAATGGTGATTACATAGCTTGTGGTATGTGAAACCATCTTTTCCTAAACTTTTTTAACAGGTATCTGTCACCAAATGCATTCACTGGAACTATATGTATTCCACTATAGTGGAATATATTAATTAATTAATCCTCAGATTGGACTGCATTAGTCCTTCCCTTATCTACGGAACACTAGCAAATCCTAACCACATGAAATAGCATAATATTTTTAAATATGTTTTTGGTTGTTCTCCATTATAACATAATTTCTATAGATATTATGTAAAAGAGAAAATATTAATATTTGCTAATATCCTAATTTTGGAGACATTATTTGTGTTCTTGAGCTTGTTATTTATTTTCCCCTATAAAGTGTTCTCTTCATTAAGCAGTCTTTTTGGGTAGTCTTTATCTGATCTTCTGGGGCTTTTTTTTAATGATAATTTATACATTTTTAAATCAGAAGTAGAAAAATCAAATTTAGTATTATTCAACTTTATAATATAGCTAATGCCTGAAGAAATGAACTTTCATCAATACCTTCAAATGACTTGGCCTTTATTGAGTAAAATTGACTCTCTCCACATGTATGTGAACCTAAACCCTGCCAAAGCAAGTCTCTGCATAATTATCCAACTTCTCATAGACTGCTCAAAAATGTAGGTTTCTAGACTGCTTACCTAATAGAGTAATGCCTTCATTAGGGATTGGGAAATAAGTTTTTTAGGTTATTAAAATTTGCCTTCACAGGTGCAATAACTTTCTTTTTTCTCTCTAGATGAAATTGTTGTAAATGTAATTAAAGATTCATACGATATTAACAGTGTTTTTATTCTTCTGGAGACCTTTCCTAGAAATGATTTTCATGTGGTAATTTCAGCCTTAGAATTCCCAATGTTAAATCATTTAACAGTGATTATGTCTTTAGTAAAGTGTAGTTTTTCCTATGAATTCTTTTCTGACATGATTCCCAAGAAGTCCCATGCTCTGTTCTTTCAAAATTAACCATAAAAGATATTTAGTCTTGGAGTTTAAACTCTGAGGTATAAATTATCTTATGAATGTGCTGTCCTAGCTCTGACTTATCCCATTCTAAAAAATTATTTTTTATTTTTTTTAGGAAGCGAGAACAACTCTCTTTACCTATACTATAAAGGACTTTCTAAGACTTTGCTAACGTTTAAGTTTGATACAGTTAAAAGTGTTCTTGACAAAGACCGAAAAGAAGATGATACAAATGAATTTGTTAGTGCTGTGTGCTGGAGAGCACTGCCAGATGGGGTAAGTTTTCATAGCAGTTTTTTTCCCCACCTTGGTGTTCTATACAATTCTTTATGTTTATGTACACACAGGTGAGTTTTTTTAATGTTTAAAATATAAATTGATATGTGATATGCATTTAATTTTTTTGCTTAGCCTTGCATCGATCACTAAAGGAAACAAGCATTTTAGGTAGTAATGGAAATGTCACTGATAGGACAGTGCCATACTGACATAATGTTTCTCCTATGTACCCATAGCATTTTGTGTATGCCTGTGTAACAGCTATTAAAACTTTGTCTCTATATCTATTCCATAAAACTGGAAATTTCTCCAGAGTATACACTGTATCTTATTTTTCTTTTTTTTTAAATATATATTTTTATTGATTTCAGATGGAAAGGGAGGGAGAGAGAGAGATAGAAACATTAATGATGAGAGAGAATAATTGATCAGCTGCCTCCTGCATGCCCCACACTGGGGATCAAGCCCACAACCTGGGCATGTGCTCTAACCGGGAATCAAACCATGACCACCTGGTTCATAGCTTGATGCTCAACCACTGAGCCATGCCTGCCAGGTTATATCTTAATGTTCTTAGTGATCACTTGCAGTATATGCTCAAAAGACATTTAGCTAAACCAGGTATTGTATTAGGAAGAAAAAGGTTTGATGTAGATAAAGGGGAGTGGCCTACAACTAATTAAATTCTATTTCAGGGTAGAATTACTTTCTACAAAATATATTTTTAAAGAATATTTAAATACATTTAATTTCTTAAGAAAGCTGCACTTCTAGGTTGCAAAAAAAAATGTTTTCTCCAACTTGTCACTTATTTAAAGTACAAGCTTTCTAATAAAGTATATGAAGAAATAATTTATCTTGATTTTTTTAAAGAGTAGTCATTCTTTAGTGTCATTTTTTCAAAAAATAGCTTTTTAGTTGCTTCCTTGGTTGGTTTTATTGTTGACACAAAAATTCTTAATTGATGAGTATGTTAAGATATTTGAGTTCCAGCCCTGACAGGTTTGGCTCAGTGGCTAGAGCAGGGGTGGGCAAACTTTTTGACTCGAGGGCCACAATGGGTTCTTAAACTGGACCGGAGGGCCGGAACAAAAGCATGGATGGAGTGTTTGTGTGAACTAATATAAATTCAAAGTAAACATCATTACATAAAAGGGTACGGTCTTTTTTTTTTATTTATTTATTTTTTTAGTTTTATTCATTTCAAATGGGCCGGATCCGGCCGTAGTTTGCCCACGGCTGGGCTAGAGCGTCGGCCTGCAGACTGAAGGGTCCCGGGTTCGATTCCGGTCAAGGGCATGTACCTTGGTTGTGGGCACATCCTCAGTGGGAGGTGTGCAGGAGGCAGCTGATGGATGTTTCTCTCTCATGGATGTTTCCAACCCTCCCTCTCCCTTCCTCTCTGTAAAAAATCAAAAAATATATTAAAAAAAAAAAGATATTTGAGTTCCAGGTATGGTTTAACTTTAATTAGATATATTTCATTGCTATATTGTTTAAAGTTCTCTTACTCAATTTTCAGTATTGGTAATGGCAGACTAAGTGTTGGACCAATCTTTCCTCTAAGTCAGTGGTTCTCAACCTTCCTAATGCCGCGACCCTTTAATACAGTTCCTCATGTTGTGGTGACCCCCAACCATAAAATTATTTTCGTTGCTACTTCATAACTGTAATTTTGCTACTGTTATGAATCGTAATGTAAATATCTGATATGCAGGATGTATTTTCATTGTTACAAATTGAACATAATTAAAGCATAGTGATTAATCACAAAAACAAAATGTAAGTATATGTGTTTTCCAATGGTCTTAGGCGACCCCTGTGAAAGGGTCGTTCGACCCCCAAGGGGGTCTTGACCCACAGGTTGAGAACCGCTGCTCGAAGTAGTACTAGAAAATTGGGAGCAGGTATATGTATTTTAAAAACAAAACCTGTTTGAAGGCATTGTAAAGTACACAAGATAGAAAAGAATTACCAGCCTAGAAATGTGATCCTGACTTTTGAGTATACTTTTGCCTGGGAGCATTTGCCAATTTTGGTGGAGTGGCTGAGAGCACTCAATGGAATTTTTAAAGGGGTACAGGTATTGATGAAAGACATCAAGGTAGAGATTCAGGAAGTGCTTACCACTGTGGAAGATAAGCCTCACAGTGATTGCAACTCAACTTCAAATCATATCAATCCTGAAATTAAAGGGAGGTGATTCTGGATTGCTAGAATCCACAGGATGCAATATTAAATCCTTTCTGAAAGATCCTCTAAAGAAGATCATCTGAAAACTTCATTTATGTTTTTTAAATTGCAATTGCAATAATTAGGGCACAATAAAAAATAAACAGACCTAGGAAAAAGCAAGGCAGCATGAATAAACCCAGCAGAAGCAATGGAGAGTAGAAACAAATCACAGCATCTCTGGATATTAGAGTTATCAGACATCGCTTGAAAATACCCACGCTGATGAGATTAAAGAAAATATTGAAAATTTAAACTGGGAACTAAACACTTTAAAATGAAAATTCTAGAACTGAAAATATAGAGCTAAAAAAATCAAGAACACAGGATGGGTTGAATGGAAGATCAGACACAGTTGAAAAGAGAATTAATGAACTTGTAGTTAAATTAGAAGAAAACATACAGAAGTAAACATGGAGAGACAAAGTGATGAAAAAAATACAGAAAGGAAATAGAAGATGAAGTAAGAAAGTTTAATAAATAGGAGACCTAAAAGGAGAGATGAGAAATAATGCCGCTGAAGCAAATATTAGAAAGGATTGTTGTTAAGAACTTGACAAAATTGATGAAACACATCAAGGTAGAGATTCAGGAAGCCTTTGTATCCCAGAGAATAAATGATTTGCAATCTACAGTGTGAATATAGATTTAATTTTTAACCTAGACCTCTTGCAGACCTAG